GGACTTCGGTGGGGGAACTTTACTGAGAGTCCCAAAGCAAGCAAATTTGGAAATAACCTGCTTTAGGGAAAATACATGTATATTCAACTTATTGTCAGCTTGAAGTTCATGGTAGTCCTTAATTTGAAACTTTCGAAATGTCTGATTAATTCAACAAATATTTTCAGCCAAAACATAATATGCCGGTCACGGTAGCCGACCGGTCTAAGGCATGCCCTGTCTTCGCTCGCTTGGAAAACGGGATCGTGGGCTCGAATCCCACTCAGGGCATGGATGTTCAGTTTGTGTGTGTGCGTTTTCTGTGTTTGCGACGAGCTGATTACCCTCCCAAGGAGTCCTACCGAATGTGTAAGATCTAGAAAAAACGAAGTGAACGGAGAAGTTCATGGAGGTAGGCCTAGGCCCATTGGGGCTGTAGTGCCAAGGAAAAAAAACAACATAATATTCCTTGTGCAGGAGTTTTCCCCTCCCTTTCAGATATTTCTGATTTTGTATCTTCAACTTGTATTTCAAGTTCGGATGTCTGAAGCCCATAGATGTTTGAGTGCAACTAAATCTGTCTCACTTAACAGTATCCCTGCTGCTCCAATACCTCTGTACCTGTTCATATACATGGTTCTAATCTAAGCTGATCTGAGCAGTGTTTTTATATTTCATGAGAGAAAGTGGCAGTTTCCACTATTTTCAAAGAAAGTCAAAAGTCTCTGCTATAAATTACAGGAACACGCCTCTTCTTAATAATTATTTGTTTTTTTGTTCATGTCCATGTTTCGCATTGCCTAAAATTTGAATTAGATCCTCTTCAGCATGTTTTTTTTCCTTTTGGTCCTACAGTCCCAATTTGGGCCTTGATTTACCTCCATGAAATTCTCCGTTTCACTTCGGTTTACTAGATTTAGACATTACGTAGGACTCCTTGGGCGGGTGATCAGCTCGTCGCAAGGCCTCTACCTGTACACAAACACAGGAAAACGCACGCGCACACACACACACACACACACACACACAAACACTAAACTCCATGCCCTGAGTGTGATTCGAATCCACGATCCCGGCTTCCGAGCGAGAGATAACAGTGCATGCCTTAGACCGCTCGGCTACCGTGACCGAGCCAGCATCGTTTTACTACATCCAAATCTACCATCACCAATTTCATGTTCTGTTCTGGAACCTCAGTGTGTTTAATAATTACTTACGTGATTCCATTACTACTCTAGCTATCCATTTTTTGCCGACGATATCAAAATATACTGGACCATTATTAAATTCCCAAGACTGCAATCTACTACAATCTGACATTGATTTTATGCAAGGTTTGTTCACTGTTAACTATATGATACTCCTTATAGTAAAATAAGTGTATATAATTCTCAAAGAAAACCAACAGTCTGATCTATATTTATGAATTTTGTCAATTCTCTGCCACCCGGCCCGAATATTTAATGACGACCAGGGGGTACATCTGGATCCTAAACTTAATTTCCATGATCATGTTGACTATATTTCCTCAGTGAATTAAGTTACTGACATTAAGTTGGCGGCATAACATTTCCTTTCTTCCTCTCGGATCTCTATGTACAGCAAAAACACAAATAATTTTTAAGTTCTTGGTAATTCATTTAGCAGCCCCAAACATTTGGACACTACACTACAATTGTCAAAACTATTGTTACCATTTAGAGGTTATCGATATGTGCACTACTAGTAACTCTGTACACACTAAGTTGGCCTTTCAGCGCCAGTCATACATTCTGTAGCAAAAGCAGCTTTCCCTTTATACAAGCAGCTGGCCTCACGCAGAATTTGTAATATTAATAAATGGATGGCTTGGAAGGTCGAGCCACCCCAAATTTCATACAATGACGTCGTTCTGCTTGTTTTCCCACATTTGGTTTTATTAAACCACAGAACACACTTCCCCCGTTGCAGAGGTGTCGCAACTTTCTTGACTGCAGTGTCCCTGGCGGAAAATTACTGTAACTGCATGTGCATGCCTTGATTCAGAGCGTTACAAATTGTAATCTAATGTCTGAAATTTCGCAAGTATTATTTTGCCTGATTGTTTCACGTTAAATGTCCGAAGTTGTAAAGATCATTTGTGCTCATCCTGTACTACAGTTTACTCTAGTTAGATTTAAGCTTGAAAACGCCTCTCTTGTTTGGAATTCTGGGAAGTCTACTGATCCCAACAAACTGGAACGCATCCAGCAGAAGTTAGCAGCCCTTTGTTTTAATTGTTTCTTTCCCCATGTTTATTAACGTCATGCTTACCTTCAGAGTACTTAAAATTGTACGCCTTACGTACGAGGAGGTACAAGTATTACTTTCATTTTTCAAGTTACCTTGGTTCTACATTCTGCCCTTCCATTTTGGAAACCATTCGTCTGAAGTTCTTTCTCCTACATCACACACTTGTCTTCTCACCGCGTAATGGTAGAACGACTGCAATGATGGAATTGTTATTACTGCCTAAATTCCTTGTTTTGTCTTTTGTTTTTGTTTATATGTTTCTTCTGTTTTCATCTTTTGCCCATGCTTACTTTAAATTTCGACTTTGGTTTGCTGAGTAAAGTAAGTAAAGCTATCCCTGTACCAGGCCGTGAAGGCCCATAGGGTTGTGAGACGTTGAGGGTCCCACATTATCTAGGCAATCGGCTCTAAGATGGCGGTAAGGTAAACATGTAAATATACAAATAATTGACTTAAATTGTTACTGTTGTTACTATAGGATTTCACTATTTGGGTGACGTACGGATTTTGTGTAAGTTACATTTATGAGACATATCATCAAAATTTCATGCCGTTTCCATGTTTGTAATTCTTGACCGACGAAATAAATTTCGTGCACAGAATTCTTTTATCTTCACGATAAATTCTTAAATTGAATTCCAGATGTTTCACTCCAATGGTTACTTATTTGTCGTCAAAGGCTGCACCATAGCTCAGGCGGTTAATCGCTGGCTTCCCAGAGTGGCGGCCCGGGATCGAGCGGGAGATAGCAAGAAAATATACAATAAAAATTGTATATTTTCTTGTTACCTCTCGCCGAATTAGGCTGGTAATATGTGATTAAATAGCTGTGTAAATATGGCAGGGGCTGTCCAATAATTGGGATTAGCTTTTTCTAAGCGACCCAACTGAGTAGGTGTCTTCCCCATTCACCTGAGGATGGAAACAGATCCAGTTTCCGAAACGTCATGTTTTCTATTTTCTAGATTACCGGACGATGTAAAAAGTCCAAAACCTGAGTAATTCTGTAGGCTATACACCACTGTCAGAACCCTTTAGAATCTAATATATGAATGTTCTGCATAATTTCTGGTCGCTATATAAAGTGACGCTCCCATATCATAAATGCGTGCAGGCGCCATGTTTCTATTACTATCACAGCATACGTGGTTGTAGTGACCGTCAGTGGCGTACCTTTCATACCAGATTTCCGGAAAATCAGTCAACTGATTCAGACGTTGGAATGAGAAGGCACACAGAGAGCATGTTGATGCCATAAGCCTAATATTGTCCTTAAGGAAGCAAGTGATAATAAAATGGGCTATTCTTCGACAATTCTAAACAACCACTTTCTGAAGGAAGATTCTTTGTCATGCAGTTTTTCAACTCAAGAGGTATGTAGTGCCGGAAGACAAAATTCAAGGCAATTTTGCACGGTAATTTCGAAGGAAATGATAATTGTGGTTCTAATATATCGTTCGCAATTTTCATGGCAAGATCAGGAAAACAATGGCAGACCTCCACGAGAATTGCCGGTGTTCAGACAGAGATTCGATCCGGGTACCTTCCGAACACCGCCGGTTAGCAAACTATGATGGATCGCCAGCGCTGACAGGTGATGACAGATGTGGGACATTTGGCGGCTGGAATTTGTTTCGAATTTAACGAGCGATCAGGCTTCAAATTCGAGTCAAATGTCACCCCTTCTGTCAAGGTTCTTGCATTTAAAAATCTGAGAACCATTATGCGGATTTCCAACGTTTGGGACCGCGTAATTACCTACCACTGTCTACCGGTATCTATTGTATTCATATTTTTGTTTTCAGATACTAATTTTACTTTCTTTTGGCCTCGATAATTCTTCCCTTAAGCAAAAGATTGCTGTATACGTAAAATCTGAAGCTTCATTGTGTTCCCAAAAATCTGGCACTGAACCTTATCTTAGCCGGATGAATCATGTACACGACGTCACGTCGTTTCTCCTATCGACGCCTAGGTTAAGTTAAGTATGTCCTAGGACCTACATGGTTGCGGGCGAAGGAAAAGAATGGGATATTAACTGCGATTGTATTAAATGCGCAATCACCGGCATTCGACAAAGTGTGATTCTCCTCCTCGGTAGTTTGGCGGGGGCGTAGGCGTGCATCTGGTCATGATGCTAAAAACTGACAGTTATATTACGGATTGTCATACAAAGCGGTTGCTTAGGACACGTTCTTTGTCTACCTAATAACAGCTAGCTCAAAGCGAATATGACAGGTCTATTTTTCGGCCAGCATTCCATAATTTTAAATTGGGTTAGTATTCTAAACTGCAATGAGAAGCACCACGCCGAGATATGAGTCTGACTTGTGTTCCGCTGCGTCGGCAAATGGTCTTACGTATTAACCGGCATCGTATCATCGTAGAGTAACAATGCACTAGCCGGGGGACACACAACAACTTAAAACGGTGCTCTCTGACTGCGTTTTGGATCCCAAAAGCGGTTATTGTTACGGCCGATCATCGCGAGTTACCGCTGTGCTTCCGTCACATCTCTGATTTCGCACAACAAGGCGTTGCGTAGATCAATGATAAAATGACTGGTGAATGCCACTGTTTACATCACAAGTCTGTACTGCTTTTTAAGCGTGGGCCATTCGGGCCAATTTTACTTCCTTAACCATTCCTTAATTGACACATTCTGCTGCCGCGTAAGGTCAACAGCTCCGTGCAGGTCAAACTGGTCCACTCATCTCCCCTCCCCCTCTCAATCTAAAGAGTGTACTCACCGGATACAAGCAGTAGCGGCAGGAGCACAATGGCGAACCGATGGATGATTAATCCTGGAGCAGTATCCATTATTGTAACAACACACACGGTAAATAGTCGAATGTTTTTCATCCGGTATTTATATTCTCGCACTATTTGTAACGATAAATAACAGGACTATTACTGTTTCCATCTCTGACATTCATTTCATATGCTGAAACAAATCACAAAACACTCTCCCCTGTCCACAAGAGGACTTATAATCTAAAAAAAAAATATCACGCAAGAAAAAACAACACACACACGCAATAATGGTCCAGAAAAGAGAGGAAGGGAATATTGAGCGTTCGAGCAGCTACAACACTCCTACTCGCCGTGCTACCAAAGTTCGGACTGTGCCGCGCAGCGCTGCTAGCTACCGAGCCGCTCACCCGTAGTACTACGCGCGGACACTAGGTGGGGGGCAGAGCGCACGCACAGATCAATATAACGTGGAAGACGCATGGGGTGGGGAAATAGACATGACAATAAAACCCTGTCGATAACACAGAAAACTGAAGTATTGGCGGAATAAGTCAGCAACAATAAGCCATTTCGATGTGGAGTTTAGTGCGGAGCGGATCCTCATTCTATAAGCTGGATATCTAGAGGAAGCTCCAGGGAGGGGCAGGGAGGCTCAGTTAAGCGGCGCTATTCAGCACAGCTGAGGCTGCCACGAACTCAAATTCAGTCTTACTTAGAAGGAACTGCTTCGCTTCTTGTGGCAAGTGGAAAACACCTACTGGGATCTCGTATGTCTTAAAATAGAACTGCAAACAACAGACCTAGAAACAAAGACTGCCTGAATGAAATAAAATTATTGGTATTTTCGACACTACTTTAAGTTATTTCTACGTTTGACACGAATCTGACGAATCTCGTCAGCAAATTCTCTTTGAAATATTAAATTGACTTCTTACTCGAATGTTTTCTCACTAGTGCTGTATAAAGTCCCTGTTCTGTCTTTTCGACTTTGGTAGCCATATATCTGAATCAACTGTTTCGAGCATTCGTCGACGATGAGAGCGGCTTTCTAGTTCTTCAAAGTCATTATATCATCCAATGGAGAGGCACTGTGACAACGGCAACGAAATGCATTTCTGTTATGGGAAAGAAGTGCGTTGGCGTTGCTAAATGAGAAGATTCAATGAAGAAAAGCAGCTTCGAATGCAGAATTATCTTATGAGATCGAAGTTGACGATCGAAACGGATTTCCACTTCACCTGTTTCGGGCTCATTAAATGACGTCAATCGAATTTTGTGAGCCAGAATTGAGGATGGGTCAGCACCGTCGTAACCTGGAATAACTGTCTTCGAGATAATTTTGTCTGTCGTTTTGAATCATATACCTGTGCTCAGGTAACTCTTCTCACAAAGCAACATAGTAACAATATTACCGCCCCAGCAAATGCTTGGCGGTATCGAAGAACCTTTGTTACTCTCCATGTCCCAGATAGAAGATATGCTACTCTCCTTCAACTCGCTCTAAAACGGTTTCGACTTGGGGCTACTTTTATATTGGGTTTTTAATGGTAATGCAATTTCATTCGAAGAACAAACTTCAAGGATCGAACGGTTAGTCAGCGATACAATTTCGTTGATTCGCAGAATGAGATGCATGCATGAACGCGTCGAAAACATAAGGAACTGAGCTAAACTGTGAAACAAATGCACCATTTTGACAGAAAGGCAAATTTCGACTCTTACAGAGCAGAATTTATATAGCGAACTATGCTTAATATCCGTGATCCATTTTAAGCTATATTTAAGGATATAGCAGAAATTTCACCTCCGAGATATCTGTTGTAATGCTTTATTTCTTTCGTATAGTAAAATATTTATTTTTACTAAACTTCCTTCTTGTATGAAATAAATTTATTTTTAAAATTCCGAAAAATATATAGTGCAAGGGAAACAATAGGATAGAAACGAAACTACCCATATAATTAAGATCATAATATTCGAATTTAAATTACCGCAATTTCTGGTCGAAAGAAGAGAATGAATCAACATGACTGTTCCCTCTGCGATATGCTGTTCTATATGGAAGTTTAATGAAAGTCTCCATCCTTACTTTAGATGCACGCAAGGAATTTGACGTTCATAGTATTTAAACGTTGAAACAAGAGCGGGAACTGCTCTATTTTTCTACTCTCTCCACATATAAGCACAGTTAGAAAGGCTTTATCAAATTGTCGTGTTTTTCTGGAAAATTGTGTTAGCTTCCGAACTCAATCAATTGCGATCATTGATTAAATATTCCATGCTTAATTGAACTAATTTTATAGGGGTTTCAGCTCAACGAGAGCTAAAAACATTTCTTCCCTTACTTTGAGTCCTGCTCAATATGGCTGCCTCTAGTTGAAATTGAATATTATATTAATCGAGGATTAACATGGATTACTGGCCGCGTGCAGTGAACGGCCGGACGTAGAAGTTAGGAGCCATTATACGATAGCCTACCAAATTCCCAACGTTATGATTCTGCTGACAATGGCGTGGAGATTCCCGCAGTGGTCCGCCCATTGATTCCAAAATTATTTCATAGAACCACGTTCTAGGAAATTCCTGCTGCTTACTGCCAAGAACTCGTGAAATTAAATACAGAAAAGAAGCTCTCACGCTGCGCTAGATACAGAACAATGCAAATGGATTTTGATCCTCTCCAGCACATTTTGCCTACACTGCTCCGAAAAATTCATTCCTAGACCTAGGCCAACCAGTAGAGTTGTTTGTATTTTCATATACAGTAAACAGACTGAAATATTTTACTCTTTTGGCGTCTTGTTATTTTCCGTTTTCCTTGAAAAATGACTTAGCTCTACTGTTCTCAGTTCTCGTATTTTCTCGTCTTTTCTCATGTTTCTAATATATTTGTAGATCTGCGAGATTAATATCTGGTAGGGGAAAAATAGATTCGAGATTCTGACACCTTTACAAGTTTTCGCTGCTTACGAGAAGTCTTTCTTCGCATGCTCTGTCTATCTATTTGCCTGTGCAAGAATCTCGATGGGTATGAACCGCTTTGGCGTGCGAATGGTTGAAAATATTTTATCCATATTCCAAATTCACACTTTTGTCCATCCAAGGTCGGTTCTCGGTGAATCTGAACCCTTCAGCTTCAGAAATACAGGCCCTTGAGATGATCTCAAAATACAAAATGGTGATGTTCTTGAAAATTGCTCTAGCAATTTTGTTTAAATTATTGTAACGTGCTGTCTTATGGTCACCGCTGCGCTACGGCCACATAGGAAGTTAACAGCCTACAATGAGTCTCCACGGTTACGACGAATACACGGAGTTCCCACAGAGACAACGCAATAACAGTGGGCCGTTGCGTAGGAATGGCAGAATCAACGAAGCAGCGTTTCCCCGGTGATAGACAACAGAAGGTTTACTGCGTAACAACGGCCGCGGATATATAACAAGGTGTTGCATTCGCCGAGACAGTACTGGGATAGCCGTCGCCGAAGACAGTTGAGATCCAGCCACTGCCAAGGACAGTATAAGCATCGAAGTAGAGACAGGAGTCAGGCGATACTGCGAGTAATAATAATTGTAAGGTGTGTAAGGTTGCGTGTCCAATAAAGATCCGCTAAATCCGAGGCCCACGTAAAGTTATTTGTCGCGAGACATACCCAACACGTGACAACTGGTGCCATGTGACATTATAGTAACTTGGGGACTCCATATCCCTCAGGGAAACTACGCAGCTGGTATCTTCAGGAAAACAACAGTACGAGCACTAGTGTCCAAGCGCCAAATATCAATATTCTCAAAGCCGGCTTTATCGATCAAACTGTTATCATTGTTGTTAAGTAATAAGCAACTGATGTAGAATGTTTCTGTACTTTTCGATACCAAGAATAATTCACATACACCCGCACAACATGAGTTTTCTGTTCATTGACACTGTAAAATGTTAAAGAATTTTAATCAACTGAGGAAAATGTTTATAAGAGAAGTATTTCCTTCTTAACCTAACCTCTCTAAAGGTCCATGATCATACAAAGTTTAGGGCCTTGCATTGATTATTGTACGAATTCGCCCAGGCCTGTATCTCTCTATGTTCAAGATTCAGAGGATCCTACAAATTTTTCTTCTGACGTCTCTCTGTTTCCTGTAATACATCATACTGATAACTTCTGCAGCATCTGTAGTCAAACAGACAGCTGCAGGATGATATTTTACTGAAGTTTCCTATGTTGAGAGTGAGATTACGAATGCCTATTCTTTGATTGCTTTTCTATCAATTCCTCAAATAAATCAGAAGAAACAGCTCCAGGGGACTCAAATTTCTTCTGCACAGCGACGGATCCAATGCCTGTGACTCCGGGGGACTCAAATTTCTTCTGCACAGCGACAGATCAAATGCCTGTGACTCTGGGGAACTCAAATTTCTTCTGCACAGCGACGGATCCAATGTCTGTGACTCCGGGGGACTCAAATTTCTTCTGCACAGTGAGAGATCAAATGCCTGTGACTCAGGGGAACTCAAATTTCTTCTGCACAGCGACGGATCCAATGCCTGTGACTGTTGTTTCACAAAGTATAGACATTCCGACCGAAGGTACAGCTACCCCCATCGCGTCTGCCTCGCGTTCGATGCTCGTGTTGCATTTTGCACATCGTACCTGTAGGCCTCTTGCTTCGTAGATGGATATCATATGGAATCCAACATCCTATTTAAGTTACTTTCGATCCATTCAGAAATCGTTATTTCAACAGGTGATGACTATCTAATCTAATAGTCTCTCAGTTGGTCAAACCTTTATTAATCTTTTACGAAACACGACAGTATATTATCATGTTCATAATAGTCTCCTACAGTTTCATTTCCTGAACAAAATTAATCCAATTTTCAATCACACACAATTTCTTCATGATTTATTTTAATATTATCCTGCCAGTTACAGAGGCACGAGGTAGCGTAGTTGATTGAGGCACTATATTATAAGCCGGAAGGTCGCAGGTTCGAGTCTCGATCAGGTCATTGGATTTTTCAATTTACTTAATCTTTCCAGCTGTACTTTGGCCCTGGGGTCGTCTCAGCCTCTAACAGAAATGCAGAAATGAGTACCAGGAATCTTCCTAGGGGTAAAGGACGGGCAACGCTTAAGGCTGACAACCTCACCTCCATCTGTGAGCAATTTATCTAGAAAGTGTGGCAGCTTCGACGTCTCACAACCCTATAGGTCTCCACGGCCTGCTACAGGAATAGCTTTACCTTTATTACCTGCCATTTATATCTATGTCTTTCAAATAGCCTTACTCCTTCAGATTTCCCGAGTAAAATTTAAGGATTACAGCACTAAAGGTTACAGTCGGCCTCACTGAGCT